CTCATATTCCAGCTACACAAAAACCAATATTTATTATACTTTGTAACGAATTGTTGAGAGCTCGACAAAATTCTCCTGTAAGTTGACCTGGCTATTTTGAATACTTTATCATAATTGGCTTGTTTTTTAAATGTTTATACTTTGATTATCATAGAATACACAAAAAAAATTATTGGATGATACCGAAAAACGCCTTAACATTCTATTCGATGCTTTAAATAATGAAGAAGTTTCTCCAAATGTTATTGAATCATTATTAACTCTAGTTAGAGGTTGGTTTGTTAATTTGAATTAGCATTCTGATCACTGAATGATTATTTCATTTTAAATCATTTTTACAATTTCTTATGACGCATTTAGATTTGGAATCTCGTAATTTTCCTAATGCCATCAGCATTCAAGTGCAGTTAATGACTACTAAAATGGACGAGTGTGGAAAATGGTAATTTAATCGCTTCAATTAAATATTTTTTCTAATACAATTTTTCAAAATTTCTTACTATTTCATTCTTATTTCCATTTAGGATTGTCGGAATTAAACAATTGATAAATGTTCTGAAAACCCTTCAAACCCTTCAATAAGTGACTTGGATCCGGATTCTAATCGGATATTCATATCGACGTCCTGAAATAGATAGATGTTTATTCGGTTATCTGATTCTAATCTGGTTTATATCCGGTTTGTATTATACATTTTATTAATTTAATAAATGAATATACGTAATCGAACACTATACCTACAAACTGGTAGTTGATGTAGTCTATGTAATCAATTGAAAAAAAAAATTACAGACCTATTTGGAAAATTGAATCCTCATACCTTTTCTTGTAGCCCAATCAGACTTTCGTTGTTTTTTTCGGATCATCATCTGATGTTATTGTGTATTGATAAAAAAAAATACATATCTTAATTAAATATTAGGATTAGACGCGAGTTAAGATTAGAAAAATATGTATATCAATATGTAAAATTGATGTTAAAAATTAGAAGCCTAATGTAAGGTTTTATAATAAAAAAAATTCAAATTAGAATTGGGAAATTGACAAAATCTATAGCGATAATGCTCCAGTGTACTTGTCTCTAAGATCTATATTTGACAATTTTGCAATTTTAACACTTCAGGCCAGATTTATATATCCGGATCAAGACCACGGAAAATTTCGTAAATATAGTTTTGAGTAATAATTTTTTTATTGCAGTATAAAATTTGTAGTTTGATTTAATTAAAAGAATCTATTTCAGTTTAAATAGATAGCGTATTTTGGTTTATTTTCAATCAGAAGTTCCGCAGTCACAACTTATATTTTCTAATTACGACTATCGTACGTACGTACATAATTACAAATTTTACTTTGTAAAATAAATAACTTTCTATTCCATTTTTTTATTTATGGGTATCCGTTTGGCTATTGTACTAATTTTTTTTTTTTTAAAGGTGGCATCTTTTGCCTAAGTTTTTGATGGAGTAGGTATTCTATTGGGCGTTGATGTCGGTTGATTAGGAGCATAATATGACTGAGTAGGTTGCGA